AATGTTATAAATTGATTTGCATTTTAATGAGGGAAATAAGTATTTGACCCCCTCTCAATCAGAAAGATTTCTGGCTCCCAGGTGTCTTTTATACAGGTAACGAGCTGAGATTAGGAGCACACTCTTAAAGGGAGTGCTCCTAATCTCAGCTTGTTACCTGTATAAAAGACACCTGTCCACAGAAACAATCAATCAATCAGATTCCAAACTCTCCACTATGGCCAAGACCAAGGAGCTCTCCAAGGATGTCAGGGTCAAGACTGTAGACCTACACAAGGCTGGAATGGGCTACAAGACCATCGCCAAGCAGCTTGGCGAGAAGGTGACAACAGTTGTTGCGATTATTCGCAAATGAAGAAACACAAAATAACTATCAATCTCCCTCGGCCTGGGGCTCCATGCAAGATCTCACCTCGTGGAGTTGCAATGATCATGAGAACGGTGAGGAATCAGCCCAGAACTACACGGGAGGATCTTGTCAATGATCTCAAGGCAGCTGGGACCATAGTCACCAAGAAAACAATTGGTAACACACTACGCCGTGAAGGACTGAAATCCTGCAGTGCCCGCAAGGTCCCCCTGCTCAAGAAAGCACATATACAGGGCCGTCTGAAGTTTGCCAATGAACATCTGAATGATTCAGAGGAGAACTGGGTGAAAGTGTTGTGGTCAGATGAGACCAAAATGGAGCTCTTTGGCATCAACTCAACTCGCCGTGTTTGGAGGAGGAGGAATGCTGCCTATGACCCCAAGAACACCATCCCCACCGTCAAACATGGAGGTGGAAACATTATGCTTTGGAGGTGTTTTTCTGCTAAGGGGACAGGACAACTTCACCGCATCAAAGGGACGATGGACGGGGCCATGTACCGTCAAATCTTGGGTGAGAACCTCCTTCCCTCAGCCAGTGCACCCTGGAGTGGCCTAGCCAGTCTACAGACCTTAATCCCATAGAACATCTGTGGAGGGAGCTGAAGGTTCGATTTGCCAAACGTCAGCCTCGAAACCTTAATGACTTGGAGAAGATCTGCAAAGAGGAGTGGGACAAAATCCCTCCTGAGATGTGTGCAAACCTGGTGGCCAACTACAAGAAACGTCTGACCTCTGTGATTGCCAACAAGGGTTTTTCCACCAAGTACTAAGTCATGTTTTGCAGAGGGGTCAAATACTTATTTCCCTTATTAAAATGCAAATCAATTGATAACATTTTTGACATGCGTTTTTCTGGATATTTTTGTTGTTATTCTGTCTCTCACTGTTCAAATAAACATACCATTAAAATTATAGACTGATAATTTCTTTGTCAGTGGGCAAACGTACAAAATCAGCAGGGGATCAAATACTTTTTTCCCTCACTGTACAGTTAGTGAGTGCATACACTTTCATACTGGCCCCCCGTGGGAATCGAACCCACAACCCTGGCATTGCAAGCTTTAGTAGTGGTTTCTTTGCAGCAATTCGACCATGAAGGCCTGATTCACACAGTCTCCTCTGAACAGTTGATGTTGAGATGTGTCTGTTACTTGAACTCTGTTAAGCATTTATTTGGGCTGCAATTTCTGAGGCTGTTAACTCCAATTAACTTATCCTCTGCAGCAGAGGTAACTCTGGGTCTTCCATTCCTGTGGCGGTCCTCATGAGAGCCAGTCTTATCATAGTGCTTGATGGTTTTTGCGACTGCACTTGAAGAAACTTTCAAAGTTCTTGAAATGTTCCGTATTTACTGACCTTCATGTCTTAAAGTAATGATGGACTGTCATTTCTCTTTGCTTATTTGAGCTGTTCTTGCCATAATATGACCTTGTTCTTTTACCAAATAGGGCTATCTTCTGTATACCCCCCCTACCTTGTCACAACACAACTGATTCGCTCAAATGCATTAAGAAGGAAAGAAATTCCACAAATTAACTTTTAAGAAGGCACACCTGTTAATTGAAATGCATTCCAGGTGACTACCTCATGAAGCTGGTTGAGAGAATGCCAAGAGTATGCAAAGCTGTCATCAAGGCAAAGGGCGGCTACTTTGAAGAATCTCAAATATAAAATATATTTTGATTTGTTTAACACTATTTTGGTTACTACATGATTCCATGTGTTATTTCATAGTTTTGATATCTTCACTATTATTCTACAATGTAGAAAATAGTTTTAAAAAATAAAGAAAAACACTTGAATGAGTAGATGTTCTAAAACTTTTGACCGGTAGTGTATTTTAGAATGTAATATAATTTGAATATCAATGAATTGACAAAACCTAGAAAATACACTATTCTTAAAGTGGTAATGGCGGTTTTATTTTATTTTTTTTACAAATTTTGCATTCTTTTTTTGGTGGGGGTCTATATTAGGCCCTATGTGTACAATTAAATAAATTATACAATTGTACAACATTGAGGTCCTTGAAAATTACAATTAAGTGCTTGAAAAAGTCACTGAAAGTCCTTGAATTTGACTTCCCAATGTCTGTATGAACACTGCTTAAGGATGTATGGGTCAATTTGTATGTATTCACTTTTATTCCTCTAGGTACACATGTGGAACTGCATGAAAATCCTTTTTATTTTTTGTTTCAAACCATTTTGAAAATTTGATCATAATGTCACACATTGGCCACATTATTTATAGAAAGACCCGGTTGTGTCAGAGAACGAAAAGGCCTATCTTGAATGATTTTGAACTTGAGACCAATGTACCAAGAGGAACAGACTGTCACGGATCCCCCCGGTACTGCTGCTCATTCCGTTCACCAGTTCCGGAGGTCACCGGCTTTCTAGGTGTCACTGACATGTATCATTACCACCAACCCCAGACTATCTTGTCTCATTACGCACACCTGGTTCCCATTCCCCCTGATTAGTATGTGTATATATGTGCCCTCTGTTCCCCATTGTCCTTGTCGATTATTGTCCCATGTCCGTTGGTCTCGTGAGTACCGTGTATTGTGCTCTGGTTGTTTACTGGTCTCGTCCCATGTATTGTGTCGCTCTTTGTTTGGGTTATATCCCTTTTGTATATATATACGTGTTTGTGTTGGGTGGAGTAATAAAACCCCTAATACGTATTCCTGCGCCTGTCTTCTAATCATTATACAACATGACACAGACTTCATAATTCCTATTACACCTACTCACTAAAGATCATATCTGTACTTCCACAGATGGGGTGCTCTAATGTCTTCATACAGAACGTCTTCTTCCCTGTGTGGTTCTGCTGGTGGCGTTTAAAGATCCCCCTTAAGCTAAAGCTCTGTCCACACTCAGAGCAGTAGTGTCCGCTGGTGGTACATCAATTCCCATTTCCTATCGCAACATTTTTCACATTGAGGGAGTTATTTTACACTGGCCCATGGCCCATCACGTCATCGGTCAAAAGCGGGTAGGAAAGAGCGCCCTTCTCAAATCAAAATGTAGCTTAATATGGGTTGTTCGGTCAAGTTGTCAACAAGGCAGCATGATGCATCTTCCAGAAACATACATCTCTTTCCCAAAAAATAAATTGGTTATCATTAGGATGGCAGATAACGCGTTTTTATCAAAAGCAATCACTATTTGCATGGGAAAACACAGAATCCTACTCATTACTACACATGCTTAATTACGTCACTTTGCCATTGGACAGAGAGGGCACCTGGCTTACGCCCGGGAGGCAGCCCGGTTCCAAATCGAATGCAATCAACTTTCAGAGGTGCAAAGACGCCTACATGTGTGCCCGGGCAAGATTAATCGAACCCCCTCATTGGGGGCAACTGAACGGTTTGTCACCTGTGTGTGTCAACGGATGTCTTGTAAGATCTCTCTAAAAGCCAAAACATTTGCTGATTCCTCACTAAAATAGAAGAAATTAAAGCATTGTTGACCTATATTTGACATTTGCATCTTAAAGCATAATTGAGAAAACACTAATTGAAGTTGGAATATTTGTGACAATTTGGTTTTATTTAACCTTTATTTAACTAGGCAAGTCAGTTAAGACAAATTCTTATTTATAATGACAGCCTACCCCGGCCAAACCCTCCCCTAACCCGGACGTCGCTGGGCCAATTGTGCGCCGCCTTTGGGACTCCCGATCACGGCCATCATTTAAGACTCCATAATGTTTCATCTGTAGGTGCTACAAAACCAAAATTGATGTGATATTAAACGTTACCGCTTGCTCTGTAATATGAGTAATAATTTGATTTAAAAACAATTTTCTAACATTAATTTATAAATATTCTAAAATATAAACATGAATATTGAAGATATATCATTTTCGATGTAGCTAATTGTTCAATATATTGTTGAACATTACATAATATACTCTACGGGCATATCAAAGTTCGAAGTTATCAAAGCTTCCAGCCAGTAGAATGACTTCTTCCACCTGAGGCAATCATAGGGTCTCTCTTAAGTGTGGGTCATTTCATGTCTTTTTAGATGGGCTGGTCTTCGGTATCCTTTTGCACACTGAGAGCATTTATATGGTCTCTCTCCTGTGTGGATAAGTTCATGGCTAGTCAGTTGGGTTTGTTCGACAAATCCTTTCCCACACTCAAAGCATGTATATGGTCTCTCACTAGTGTGAGTCCATCTGTGTCTCTTAAGGTCCCTGGAAAAGCCAAAACATTTGTCACACTGAGAGCACTGATAAGGCTTTTCTCCTGGGTGGGTTTTCTGGTGTGCTTTTAGATTGGCTGGTTTTCGGTATCCTTTTCCACACTGAGAGCATTTATATGGTCTCTCTCCTGTGGGGATCGTTTCATGGCTGGTCAGTTGGGTTTGTCTTCGGAATCCTTTCCCACATCTTTTTTGATGTTTTTTGAGTGAATCAGCAAAGACGTAGCTCTTCCCACAGTCTGCACAGTGATATGGTTTCTCTCCTGTGTGACTCGTCTGATGCTTTTCCATAACATACTTATTGGAGAAGCTCTTGCCACATTGCAGGCACATGGCTGGGGGCAGCTGTGAACACTTTTTTTTTTTTGCTATTATTTCCCCAGACTTCAGCAGAGCGATGTACTCTTCAGGGTGGGCCCTCTTGAGGTGCCCATGGAAAAAGCGTTCTATGGTGAAACCAAGTGTACAGTGGGGGCATGGGTAGAAAGAGGTGGACCGCCCTATAGATTCATCTAAAGGAAAGAGAGAAAAACATCAAATATAGAGCCATAGTTATTGAGCAATGAAACATTTGTCACTTGTTATGTACATGTAACACATTATTATATCTCTACACCCATAGCCGCGGAAAGTAGGGGTGCTGAAGGTGCTGCAGTACCCCCTGAAAAATCAGAATTAAAAAAATAACACTTATTTTTTAGAAAAAATAACACTTATTTTTTCACAGAAGTAGTGCACTGGGCCTTTACTAGTATTAGCAGACCAATATAGACATCTGTAGTGCAGGCAAAAAAACTATTAAGCATTTCTGCTTTGGCAAAAAAGGTAGTTGTATAATTAAGAACAGTATCTTGCAGGATTCAATAGTTGGAATTGTACGAGTTGTTGCCCGGTCCCTGCGATTGTCATTCTAATGGAATCCAGAAAGAACAAAACCCTGTGCTCAAACATTTACATCAAAAGGTGCAAAGTTATGTTTTAAAGGAACTCAGTCTGGCTTTAAACTTACTCTTGAAAGTTGTAATAGTAGAATGCACAAGATGCAATTTTGAAATTAGTAGTGCATCATCTGTTCCTCTTTTCATGTTAGTCATTGCATACCTTAGAGAGCTATTTATAACTTGTCAGAAATGTCCACATAAACTAGCCCATGTCGTTTTTTTAGCCCATAGATATTGTTGAAAAAATGTTGTCACTCAAAATCACATGAATACACATTAGACTGCAAAATGTATAGAATTGCAATAACATTTGCTTTAAAACTGCTAAATGTTATTTGCAACCTATGACAAAATCTGTAGAATTGTAGGAAATAAGCTTTAAACCTACAAAATTCTCTCCACCAACAAGAGTTGGGTGTGAACAGTTTGTGTCATGAACAGTGGCCATAGAAATAGACGTGGCGCCCGCGGGATGTTCCCCAATGCTGGAGGGGGGCCCAGATTGAAAAAGTTTGGGAATCCCTGTATTAGCGGACTGATATAGACATCTTCAGCATGGGCCAAAAAAAAATCTGCAGCCCCCCCAAGCTACTTCCCGCAGCTATGTCCACACCACAACTGCGACCAACCCCACCAATGGTACTCACTGAAATCAACAGCATTAGCTTTCACATCTGTATCTGGCGTCATCCCTGGATCAATCCTGCTACAATCTTCAATCTTTAATCCTCCTGAAATGTCACTTTCATGGTTTTCACAGTCCTTTGAAACAGAGATGAGGAAGGATTCAGTTAATTCAGAAAGTCAGTTACCTTCAGAATTAGCTAAATACTAACCCAAAAGGCCCAAAAGCCAGGTTTGTGGTTTGGGGTACACAGCTAATAATAGGTAGGGTGCAGAATGGTCAAAACAACGAGTAGAATGAAGAAACTTTTAGTTTCATCCTACAAGAAGCTAACCCTACAAAACATCTCCAAGTGTGTCTATTTCACTCAGTCTTATTAAATGCTTGAACTCACTCGCACATTATCACTTTCCATCTCACTGTCCTCTGTATCCTCTGTATCTGAACATGATGATGATGGTGATGTTTCCAACGGCTCCCAAGGCACTGACACTTTCACAACATCCTCATCTTCTGACTTCAACCAGTCTTCATGCTCTTCTTTCTTCACTGTAATTGAGGCAACTTCCTCTTCATCTACTGGTATTAGGGAGCATTCTTCAGACTCCTCTTTGACTGGGACTGGAGAAGGCAGCACCTGACGCAGAAAAAAACATAATTCTAACACCTCTGGGCCTTGTAACTGGGCTTGCACAGTGTTAAGGAGCTACATACCTTTACTTTGAGATATGTTATGCCTTTATGTCCACGCTCTTGCTCTGTGACTCCATGGATGTCTGAAACTGTGTCAAATGAGGGATCTTGTTCATCAGGGTCATCCTTTGTACAGACCTGGGATGTTTCAACTCCTAATGACACAGCTGAAATCTGACTTTCTTCAGCCTCCTCTTTAACCTCGCTCCAATGCAATGAATGATCCTAGAACAGACCATGGTTGGTGAATAAACTCAACTTGACCAATAAAACGTGTTAATGGATAGCCGATTGTTTAAGATATTGTACAATTAAATTGTTTCTCATTCTGAAGAATGCATAAAATATGGGTATACATACAAAACGCTCTTCTGGTTGATCACTTCTTTCATATCTCCCATATTTATCCCCTGGATCCATCTTCAGCCAATGATGAACAGACTCGTGACCTGTCAATAACAAAACAAACCACCCAAATGTTAAATAAGATGAAAAGGCTCAACAAAGCCCATATGAAAGTCAACAATGGCACCAATGTTGACGTTAGCAAAGGGCAATTCCATAGTAATGGGATTATGCAGATATTTAGATTTTTCACTTTGAAATGTATGTCAAACAAAAACAATTGATTGAAAAGCTTAAAGATGTGCTCCAGGGATTTTTTACTTTTAGTGTTGAAAAGCGATATCCCAAGTACACAGTGCATTCGGAAAGTATTCAGACCCCTTGACTTTTTCCACATTTTGTTATCTTACAGCCTTATTCTAAAATTGAGTACATTTGCTTTTTTTCCCCTCATCAATCTACACACAATACCCCATAATAACAAAGCAAAACCAGGATTATAATTTTTTTTGCAAATGTATTAAAAATAGAAAACTGAAATATCACATTTACATACACTACCAGTAAAAAGTTTGGACACACCTACTCATTCAAGGGTTTTTCTGTATTTGTACTATTACTATCTACATTGTAGAGTAATAGTGAAGACATCAAAACTATGAAATAACACATATGGAATCATGTAGTAACCAAAAAAGTGTTAAACAAATCAAAATATATTTTATATTTGAGATTCTACAAAGTAGCCACCCTTTGCCTTGATGACAGCTTTGCACACTCTTGGCATTCTCTCAACCAGCTTCATGAGGTAGTCACCTGGAATGCATTTCAATTAACAGGTGTGCCTTCTTAAAAGTGAATTATTTCCTTCTTAATGCGTTTGAGCCAATCAGTTTTGTTGAGACAAGGTAGGGGGGGTATACAGAAGATAGCCCTATTTGGTAAAAGACCAAGTCCATATTATGGCAAGAACAGCTCAAATAAGCAAAGAGAAACGACAGTCCATCATTACTTTAAGACATAAAGGTCAGTCAATACGGAACATTTCAAGAACTTTTAAAGTTTCTTCAAGTACAGTCGCAAAAACCATCAATCGCTATGATGAAACTGGCTCTCATGAGGACCACCACAGGAATGGAAGACCCAGAGTTACCTATGCTGCAGAGGATAAGTTCATTAGAGTTAACAGCCTCAGAAATTGCAGCCCAAATAAATGCTTCACAGAGTTCAAATCACAGACACATCTCAACATCAACTGTTCAGAGGGGACTGTGTGAATCAGGCCTTCATGGTGGAATTGCTGCAAAGAAACCACTACAAAAGGACAACAATAATAATAAGAAGAGACCTGCTTGCCCCAAGAAACACGAGCAATGGACATTAGACCGGTGGAAATCTGTCCTCTGGTCTGGAGTCCAAATTGCAGATTTTTGGTTCCAACCGGTGTCTTTATGAGACGCTGTGTGGGTGAACGGATTATCCCCGCATGTGTAGTTCCCACCATAAAGCATGGAGGAGGTGGTGTTATGGTGCTTTACTGGTGACACGGTCTGTGATTTATTTAGAATTCAAGGCACACTTAACCAGCATGGCTACCACAGCATTCTGCAGCGATACGCCATCCCATCTGGTTTGGGCTTAGTGGGACTATCATTTGTTTTTCAACAGGACAATGACCCAACACACCTCCAGGCTGTGTAAGGGCTATTTGATCAAGAAGGAGAGTGATGGAGTGCTGCATCAGATGACCTGGCCGCCACAATCCCCCAACCTCAACCCAACTGAGATGGTTTGGGATGAGTTGGACCGCAGAGTAAAGGAAAAGCAGCCAACAAGTCCTTAGCATATGCGGGAACTCCTTCAAGACTGTTGGAAAAGCATTCCAGGTGAAGCTGGTTGAGAGAATGCCAAGCGTGTGCAAAGCTATCATCAAGGCAAAAGGTGGCTACTTTGAAGAATCTCAATTATAAAACACTTTTTGGTTACCACATGATTCCATATGTGTTATTTCATAGTTTTGATGTCTTCACTATTATTCTACAATGTAGAAAATAGTACAAACTAAGAAGAAACCTTGAATGAGTAGGTGTGTCCAAACTTTTGACTGGTACTGTAAGTATTCATACCCTTTACTCAGTACTTTGTTGAAGCACCTTTGGCAGCGATTACAGCCTTGAGTCTTCTTAGGTCTGACGCTACAAGCTTGGCACACCTGTATTTGGGGAGTTTCTCCCATTCTTCTCTGCAGATCCTCTCAAGCTCTGTCAGGTTGGATGGGGAGCGTTGCTACACAGCTATTTTCAGGTCTCTCCAGAGCTGTTCGATCAGGTTCAAGTCCAGGCTCTGGCTGGGCCACTCAAGGCCATTCAGAGACTTCTCCCAAAGCCATTCCTACGTAGTCTTGGCTGTGTGCTTAGGGTCATTGTCCTGTTGGAAGGTGAACCTTCGCCCCAGTCTGAGGTCCTGTGCGCTCTGGAGCAGGTTTTCATCAAGGATCTCTCTGTACTTTGCTCCGTTCATCTTTCCCTCGATGCTGACTAGTCTCCCAGTCCCTGCTGCTGAAAAACATCCCCACAGCATGATGCTGCCACCACCATGCTTCACCGTATGAATGGTGCCAGGTTTCCTCCAGACATGACGCTTGGCATTCAGGCCAAAGAGTTCAATCTTGGTATCATCCGACCTGAGAATCTTGTTTTTCATGGTCTGAAAGTCCTTTAGGTGCCTTTTAGGCAAACTCCAAGTGGGTTGTCATGTGCCTTTTACTGAGGAGTGGCTTCCGTCTGGCCACTCTACCATAAAGGCCTGATTGGTGGAGTGCTGCAGAGATGGTTATCCTTCTGGAAGGTTCTCCCATCTCCACAGAGGAACTCCGGAGCTCTGTCAGAGTGACCATCGGGTTCTTGGTCACCTCCCTGACCAAGGCCTTTCTCCCCCGATTGCTCAGTTTGGCCGGGCGGCCAGCTCTAGGAAGAGTCTTGGTGGTTCCAAACTTCTTCCATTTAAGAATGATGGAGGCCACTGTGTTCTTGGGGACCTTCAATGCAGCAGAAATTGATTGGTGTCCTTCCCCAGATCTGTGCCTCAACACAATCCTGTCTCTGAGCTCTATGGACAATTCCTTCGACCTCATGGCTTGGTTTTTTCTCTGACATGCACTGTCAACTGTGGGACCTTATATAGACAGGTGTGTTCCTTTCCTGAGCACCTGAGCTCAATTTCGAGTCTCATAGCGAAGGGTCTGAATACTTATGTTAATACGTTATATCAGTTATTTATTTTTAATAAATTAGCAAACATTTCTATAAAACTGTTTTTGCTTTGTCATTATGGGCTATTGTGTGTAGATTAATGAGAAAATTGTTTTATTTAATCAATTTTAGAATAAGGCTGTAACGTAACAAAATGTGGAAAAAGTCAAGGGGTCTGAATAATTTCCGAAGGCACTGTAAATACAGTAAAGTACACCCACTAAAGGGTAAAAAGTTTTGAGCAAAATAGTGTTTTTAGACACAACCGCAAACTTCAAGGAGTAGGACATTCAAGGAGTTGGTCTAATGGGAATCAGTGATGTCATCGGCCTCCCCCTTTGCTTGAGGAACAATAAAGAGAACAAAAAAGGAAAGGCCCCACTATGTCATGACATACCTGGACCACCTATTGAGATGTGCCTTTAGTCAAGTAAATCAGGTGTTAAATGAGGTGAAAAGAAGACTGGAGTGCCACTTTAAGTAGATGTGTTTTTGTAAAATGTTCTGTGGCCATTGTTAAAAGTAAGCCTTGTGCATAGAGTTGTATGGTTTGTTAAATAACTGTGCAGATGCAAAGTTTGGTAACAGAATGACGGTATGAATATCTGTTTATTATGTGACCAAGTTTTCCAAAAACGGTTAAATATCTATTGAAGCCCATTTCCACCACCAATTTTTTATTTTATGTCAATACTATCTAAACATTTTGAGATACGCAAGTTGAAATTTCGTGATACTTAAGTCAAAAAAACATAGACATGATTTGTTTAGTGATGAGCAAAACCAGAAATTGCTTCTCTATGATGTTTTCAAGTTGGATCCCTGAGATGACTAGTAAAATTAATTATGGAGAGTCATTTTCAGCTATCTATTTAACCTATCTGTAGTTTTCTGATGATATTGGTTATACTGGCTGTCATCATCATATTGATCATACTGGTAGTCATCTTCTAATAACATCTGGAAATATTTTAAATAGAATGATATTTATAGTCATTTTACTCCAATATTTTTCTGTTGTTTTTAGGCTCAAACGTCCTTGATTCCATTCGGCAAAACCAGTCCCACCATCACAGGCGAAGTTGCAGCTCCGGCGACTATTGCACACTTTACAAATAGCCTATATTTTTGTAAACTTCATACTTTTTATTACACTGAACAAAAATATAAACGCAACATCTAGTGTTGGTCCCATGTTTCATGATGTGAAATAAAAGATCCCAGAAATTTTCCATACGCACAAAAAACGTATTTCTCTCCAATTTTGTGCACAAATTTGTTTACATCCATCTTAGTGATCATTTCTCCTTTGCCAAGATAATCCATTCACCTGACAGGTGTGGCATCTCAAGAATCTGATTAAACAGCATGATCATTACATAGGTGCAGCTTGTGCTGGGGACAAGAAAAGGCTACTGCAGTTTTGTCACACAACACAATGCCACAGATGTCAGAAGTTTTGAGGTAGCTTGCAATTGGCATGCTGACTGCAGGATGTCAACGTTGTGAACATGGTGGCAGTGGGGTTATGGTATGGGCAGGCATAAGGTACAGACAACAAACACAATTGCATTTTATCAATGGCAATTTTAATGCACAGAGATATCGTGACAAGATCCTGAGGCCCATTGTCGTGCCATTCATCTGCCGCCATCACCTCATGTTTCAGCATGACAATGTTCGGACCCATGTCACAAGGATCTGTACACAATTCCTGGAAGCTGAAAATGTCCCAGTTCCTCCATGGCCTGCATAATCACCAGACATGTCACCCATTGAGCATGTTTGGGATGCTCTGGATCGATGTGTACGACAGCGTGTTCCAGTTCTCGCCAATATCCAAAACTTCGCAC